ATATATATATATATGTATATACATACATATGTCTTCTTACAGTCTTCTTGCTGTTAAAATGTTCAAATTTGTGTATCAGTTTAGCTTTTACTTTCCTTTGATAATTGTTATTCGTCTTTTTAAGTACACACCATTTAATTTTTAGAATTTACCATCCTGAATGATAAAATTTAACATTCTTATTATTTTTAAGTAATGCTATTTGAGAAACATTTTTGTTTAGTATTTTAGTTTTACTCTGATATAAATAATTTGTACGAGTTTTAAACTCTTGAAATGTAATATGTTTAAATAAAGTACAATTTTTGGTTAATTTTCTATCTTTTCTGCATTACTTTCGTGATGTATTTCAGTATATCCTTCGAAAGGTTTAGCTACATATTGAATCTTCCTTAATTTCCCAGTTGCATCATAATAACCATATTGACCTTTTATCGTACCATCGCGATGTCTCTCTTCTAATCTATATTGTCTATTCTTTCTGGAACAAATAAATATGTGTTTTATTGTTAATTAAATACCTGTAAGTATATGTAATATTTTCTAACGATGTATATGTATACGCATATGTATACAGAATTAGATGTTTATAATAAATAAATCTAATTTTTATAAATGAAAATTGAGATTTTCATTATTTGATCATTTTACGTTATTCAATTATAATTTTGATTACAATTAAATACAATTGATTTAATATAACTATCACTACTAAATAAATCATTCTTTGTTTCTGTGAAGAAAATTCGATTTTAAGATTTTTAATTATTTACCCATTTCCAGTATCGAATCCAAATATGTACGTTTTTGGTCCTTCATGGCCTTCCAATTGAAATTGTATTCGATCAGTATCTTTTGATGAGTTCCAAGGATCTATATTTTCATCTTTTCTTATTCTCACATATTTGTCCATTGTATTTTTAATTTCTTTGGTTTTCTGTGGTTGTAACAGTTCTTTATTTTTTCGAATCGCAGACCTCGTTTCGTTTATAAAACTCCCTTTGTAAAATCGGTGATTGTTGGGCCATGGAACGTCGATTGCGATCGTAAGAACTGCATTTGTTAAAAGCTAGATTGATAGAGAAGACAATAGGAAAGTCAAAGTATTTTTAAATAATACAAAATTCGCCACTAAATTTTAACTTATAGTTTCGAATAATTTATAGTTTAATGTTCGCATCAGCAAATTTAATTTTAGCGTTTTAGCTAAATTTACTTAGAGCGTTCATCTTCTACTTCGCTTTCACGTGTTTTTGCGATCCATTGTTTTTTTTGCTAAACAAGTTTCAGTGAATAAAAAAGATTTAAATAAAATTTATTTTACTATCTTCATAGTGATAAAAACAATATTCATTAAAATTTTACAAATAAAAATATAAAATTTCTACATATATTTTTCTTCATAATCATGATTTACGTACCTTGTTTCACTGATAATGATTCTTTTCTATAATAATTTACAAAGCAAAAAACCATTGACTTCAAACTTAATTAATAATAATTAAATTTACTTACGATCGATATATAAAATTCATACGTATTGCTGATTATGTAAATGACTTTATGTTATCTCCGAAACGAAATCAAACCATTACAAATGACAACAGAAATGATTTTATTTTGCAAATTTTAATAAATAAAAGATGTTTACTTACAAGAAATTTAATATACATTTTATCCCAACGCAGAAGAACGACAATTTCACTATTCTTAGCTAAAATTCTTTTCAGATTTATTGCTTATTGTTTTTGTTCTTCAATCACTTTCATATATCCTCCCTCCTTTTATTCTCCCCTCTAACTTTCTTTCACGATTATGATAGATGCCATTGGATGACCTAAATAAATAAACTGTATCATTCCCATTATTTTAAAAACCTTTCTTTTTCTAACATAGTGTATCATTATATATTAATTTAAAATATTACATCATTGTACACATAAATATTAACTCATGTCATCAATTACTTTTACTCAATGTTATGAAATATTTTCCTGACTATGAAAAGGATTTTAAAACAATAGCGAAATTGTCGTTTCAATTATATTACCTTCTATTCTTAGTCAGTAATATTGCATAATTTACATTTAACCGGAAGGAAATAATTCAGGATACGTCTGTCACCGAAACATTCACTGAATTCAAATTCTTTTCAAAGGCAAAATGACATGTAATTATTGTCATCACCTTGTTTCCTGTTCATTTTGTTTATATATTTGACTGAAAGCGAATATGGTTTCAATAATTGTTAGTTAAAGCGGTAGAAACATCGACATTGTCTATCATGAAAAATTTTACTTCGTTTGCTTTGTGCTGCATACTTGTACTTCTTTTCCACGAAGGAGTAGTAAGCGATGAATTTATTTTATCTTGTACTTGTTACTTATGTAAAAAACTTCTTTTAAAATAAAAGAATTAAAATAATATTTAATATTATTAATAATAAATTAATTATAAAGTGTGTTACAAATATTATGATAATATCTGTAATAACGTTGCAGTATCATGATAAAAAATACTTCTTTCAACTTATTCGATCTATTTCTCGAATTTCTCGAGTTTAATTACAATCGTAAAATAAAACGAATTTTTTTTTTCAGTCTTTAAAATGTCGTTCTGGAAATCAACAAGTAAACATACAATTTCAAAACGTGTTAAAAACTTGTAGGGATCGCTATATTAGTTCAAACACAGATAATAAAAATTCTGCATCTACGAGTGACAACAGTTCAGAAAGTGATTCTGCCTCACAGGAAGAGGTATATGATAAACGTTTTTTTTACAAAAATAACAATGGACCTTCATACAATCAGTCCACGAACAACCATAAATACAGGTAAAATTTTGATTAATAATAATAATTTTGCATATTATGTATGGATATTTCAAATGTATTCAAACATTACATACATATATTAATTTGTTTTTATACATCCTTATATTCAATATATTTTTCTTGTAATTTTACTTGCTTTTAATTAAGTTATTTACGAGTATAGAAATTCCGATGATCGTTCGATTAGAGGCAATATAAAACATATTCGTGGAACCAACAATCGAAATTCATGGAATTCTGGAGATTCGCGCAATAGAAAAAGTGATTTTGATAATGGAGATATGAATAACGAAGATACGCACTTTAATAATAATAATAATAATAATAATAATAATAATGATCAACAACAAGATGTAAGAATCACGAGTTGTTCAAATTGAATATTTTATAATCATTTACAATATTTTGTATCATTTACAATCATTTACAATATAATGTTAATTTAATAATTCTATATTGTAATTTGTTACAGTGTATAATGCAATGTTTTTTCAATGAATTAGATGCTGTAAGTATTAATGATTTTAATTTAAGAAAATAGAAAATAATCATTTTACACAAATAATTATTAAATAATAGGTAGATCAAAAAGGATTTCCAGAAAAAGATTTAGTAGTTTCATTGATGATTCAAAATATTCAAAATCCAGAATTAAAAGATTTTATTGAAGAATCAATTACTGAATGTTTTCGTTATCTTGAGTCGAATAAACGAGAAAAATGTGAATTCTCACAGAATTTATTGATATGTTTGGGTGAAAAAGAACAACAAGTAAGTTTCAATTTTTAAAATCTTACATTAACTCTTCCATTAACTCTTCCATTCCATAAAAAGTAATTTTTTAAAATAAATGCATATTTTGTTCCAGAAATGTGAAGATTGGGAAAATTAAAAAAAATGTAATTTCATTATAATTATTTTAAAAATATAACGATGTGTATATGATAATAATGATAATACTATAATAATAATATATGATAATAATATTATATTTGTCTGTATCTATTTATGCATACAAAATAATAGAACTATTTGAAAAGAAATTTATAAATATTTTATTACAATAAATTATTATACTATTGTGAATTATTATTTTATATAATCTTTTCGAAAGTTTCTTATAATATTTTGAATTACAATACTGCGAAATAATAAAAAAATGTTATCTAAGATAATATTATTATATTCATATTTTAGACAGAAGTAATTTACAATTTTATTAATTACAATTGATTAATTACAAAGTTGTATATTTTTACAGGTATATTTTTACAATATATAAAAATGCTATTTCAAATTTTTTTTATTCAATATTGTAATTTAATAATGATAGTATTTGCATCAAATAAAAAACTTATTCAATTGAAGCAATATTGTAATTCATATCTATGAAATATTATAGCATTGTTGAAAAATGTTAAAATATTACACAATGTATTTAATATATTTAATATAATCTATTCTTATAACAAAATTGCAGCCGAAATGTTTTATGCATTTCCGTATTCTTTTTCATAAATATTGGATGCATATTGTATAAGAACCTGAAATCGGTGAATTTTAATTATTTGTGAAATGTTAATGTCTATTTGTAATATTGATGTAACGCTTAAAATTAAATTTACTTCTAATACATTGTTTTCTATTTCAGATGTATTGCAAATGATATTTTATCAATATTATTACTTAAATTTTACAATGTTGTATAGGATTAAAACTATAATTATTTTTTGTTATACCTACTGTATTATATTTTTGTTGTATTACAACATACAAATTTGTAATACATCTTAAATAAGAAATTATTTTCTTTTTTTTAAATCTTCAAAGCGTTTCATTAAATCATCAAAATCAATGTCTTCACTAGTAGATGGATTATTCGAAGGTAAATCATTCTCCGATGGCACGGCTGGCAAATCTGGAAGCTGAAAATCATTCATCGGCATTTTCGATCGCGGTTGAGGTTTTGGTTTCTGGTCGGACTGTAATAAAAAATTATAAATAAACGTAAGAAGTTGCACAAACGTATAATAATTTAATATAAAATGCATAATATAAAAATATACATGTCTAACTTTTGAAGTGATAATAATAAATAATAATAATAAATAATAACTCTAACAAATATAATAATAAATAATACTTTTATGATCAAAAAACAGAAAATTAAAGAAAATATTAACGAATTTAATACAACTAATTACAATATTGATTTTTGTTTATATATTTATATTGATTTTTATTATACAATTACCTCTTTATTTAAATCAGGTGGAAAAGATTCATATGGCGGAGGCAGATCATTTTCCTTAATAAATAAGAATTCATTAATCATTTAATAATTTAATTTATAAAATTTCAAGTTATGTCACTCACAAGTTTATTTCCATTTGAGTTATCTAAGGGAATGTTGTATGAAACATTACTTGGATTATAAGGAACATTTTGATCTTTATTTTCTAAAGATCCTGGTGGAGTTACAAATCCTATAGGTCCCTTCTCTGAATTCTGAAAGAAATAATTAAATAAAAATGTGACTAAAAAGTAGATAGACAAAAAAAAACATTACTCACAATTAGATTAGACGCAGGATTTGGTAATAGAGGAGGTTGTGGAAAACCAATAAATCCAACTGGTTGTGGTAAACCTCCAGAAGCTGTATCTAAATTATTTCTCTCTGTGTTATTTCCAATATCGATCAATAAAGCATCTTGACCTTCTGCCATTATCTATTACATTGCAATTAAGATATTCTCTCAATAAAATTAGAACCATTATCATTATTATTAATGATTTTATTTCATATAGTTTTTACCTGTGGATCTGGTTCATATTCAACATTATAATTTTTTGCAATCTCTATGAGGTACTTCTCTACAAGAAGCTTAGATGGTGATTGCACGCTCATCTTATGCTTTAACTTTTCAGAAATGGTTTGTACTGCCTCTTCTCTACATGCTTCAGTGTATTGTTTTCCATATTTCGATGTTAAGATATCAGCAATTATTTTAATTTCCTGAACATCAGTTTGTATTCTAGGAGCAGCCCAAATTATTGTAGAAATGGCTTCTGCTAAACCTTCATCTAAATTTCTATAACAATACATATAACAATATTTGAAATTTTTATTTAATGACTTTTATAACTTTTTACTATTAGAACGACAGCTATCTCATATAATTAAAGTTGTATTAAAAATTTAAATGATGAAGTTGAATCAAGTTGATTGTTTTTGACCATTTAAGTGATTCACTTACTTCATTTGTTGAATAAGTCCGAAACGTGCAAGTAAAAGATCACAGTACATTTCAAGTAATTCCATTGCCTCGACCATGTAATCTTCTCTGATAATGTGTTCAACTCGTATTTTTGCTCTTTCAACTTTACCTGCGGCGATATAATCAGCAATTTCTTTCCGTGCTTTTTGAGCAAGTTCAGTTTTCTTTTTCTCGAGCAACTTCAACCGATTAATCGCCAGACGCAGATGCGTTTTTAATTTTGTGTAATTCGGTCCGCTTGAAAACATCTTTGCTTGATCGTTCTTATCACAAATTAAGCAAATTGATATAATCTTTCATATTTTCACGTAGGTGTATAATAGAGGTTATCACAGAGAGTTGACAGAAGGTGACAGCTCAAAGATATCGAGGAAGTGTATGATTTAAATCGATTGTATATGTTGCAAAATTTTCAAATATGATTTTTTTTAAGTATTTATAATGTAAAAGTATTTATAATGAAAAACACAAACCCAAATTGTAATACATAAAATAAAATTCGGTAATAGAGGATTCGGAGATAGTTATCTACATATTACACGATTTCATGAGTCATATGTATATCCAGATACCTCTGCGTAAATAAAATTGGGCGCTACTTTTAAATATTTTAACTCTTATTGAATATACATTCGAGTTAAATATAATCATAAATTCAAAGCTTTGTGTCAAAATATATAAATCTGTAAAATATGTAAAATTGTGTCAATATATATAAATTTATGTCAAATTATATAAATAATAAATATTTGTCTTAATGTTTAAAGAATGTTTATCGTTAGAATCAAAATTTTGTTAATATATTAATATACTGTATTATATATTGTGTTACTATGTTATCATGTATTGTATTATATATTATATTATATTATATTATATTATAAAATATGCATACACGATAATCTACGATAAATATTAAAAATAAAAGAGTCCTAGGACTTGAACGGAAATGTATATGTATACAAACGCAGGCGCGATATTCGATTTCTTAGATGGAAGGCACTCCAACCAAAATCGATTAATCGATCATTTGACACTCGTTTCCGTTAAAATTAATAGAAACAAAAATCGACGCTGTGACGATTCGCATTTTATTTGTTATCTAAAATTGTTACCCAATTATTTGGTAGTTCAATGTTTTATTCAATTGAACTACTTTCTCTTAGAAGAAAAGGCAAATTGGCGCGATGTTGGTTAGCTGCGACTTTTAGTGAAAAGATGTTTAAAAGAACTTGTAAGCCGGCGCTGATTAAAAAAATTAATGTAGCCCTTGTTTGGTAAGATGCCATTTTCTATTTTAAAAATTCAATTAATTCAATCATTTTATCTAGATATCATTTTATTTCATTGTTGCAATGAAATAATATAATTATTTCTATATGTACCTATTAAATAAATGATTATATTATTCGCTTATTGTTATATTTTTAGTGAGGAAATTTTAACAACTATTGAAATACGAAATGGAAGAAATTATGGCAGATTTAGTCTCTATCTTTCTTCGCAATTAATGTATGGCGCTGCAAAAATACTTTTTTACCAGACAAAATATTTTCAAGGTCGTAAATTTTGAAATTATTATTTCGCAATTTTTTTGTAATAAAATAAGTATTATTTTTTTATCGTTATTTTTTTAACAGATTATTTATTTGAAATAAAGTGGAAACTATATGAAATAAAAAGGTAAAGTTTAGAGTTTTGAAGCATTTTTTTTTCAAAAATCCTAAAATGTTTTAACTTTAAGATACATTAATAATATCGAAAAATTATTGAAAATATAAAAAGTGTAGAAAATTTCAAATATTACTTCTCGTAGGTATAGAACAGAATTTAACGGGTTAACAACTTTAGAATTACCAGATGTCCCTCCCATAAGCGAAGTATTTCGGAATTTAGAAATGTCATCGAATTTACATTTGATCACAGAAGAACCATATACTTCTGCTATAGAACATTTGGTAAAAAGAAAGAATTATTTTTTT